GATAGTCTCAAAAATATGTTCTAGGTCACAGCGTTATGGCACAGGGGTTAACAACATATTTCCATAAAGGAAATTGGGTGGGTTGTTGTTCAGAGACTTCACTGTTGAGTGCGCAGCATGGTGTAAAACATAGGGAACTGCTGACAAAGAAACCAGACTGGCACTTTGGAGACCTGGGTTTTATTCTCCAATTTCCTCAAGCAAGTCACTTCCCACCCATTCTCTGTCTTTTTCCCAGCATGACTGGAAGCTCTTGGAGTTGTGGACTTTCTCAGTAGTTACCCAATGCCCAACATAACGGGACCCCAAGTTTTTATCAGGGTCTTTGGCTAACCACAGCACACAAAGGACAACAAACACTATTTCTAAGGAAGGTGCTCTGCTGGGAGGTTGAATACAAGAAAATGAAATGAGAACTCAAAGGTATCCCAAGTACCACCAGTTCAGAAAAAAAAAATAACAAGATTAAGCCAAGTACCTCTGGCCAGTCTTTTTCCTTTAACTGCAAAGAAAAGCAATCTTTACAAAGTGATAAAGCCATCCAAGAATGTCCGCGGTTTCTTTTAAATGAACCAGAGAGAACAGATGGCCTCCTCTCATACTGTCACAAAGGTCAAAATTAGCCACCCCTAAGACTAACAGGTTCTGGAAATGCTCAAGTGCTTGTGTCTGGTCGTTGTGACTAATCCACTCTCCAGAACAAGAAAGGTCAAATGAAGAACACCCCTCCAAATACTGCAACAACTCCTAGCCATGGCTGATGTGTAATGCACTCGTACATGGTGTCAACAGCTGCTCCTAAAACCCAATGAGTCAGCCTTTCAAAAGAGCTTGTCAGCTCTCACTGTTAGAGCTTTCATACAGATTATATTTACTCCCCAATGTTTAAAAATATCCTTCTTAAACCTTGAAAATATAAAACGTTTTCCTTACAGAATTTGTCCTTTTTCCCCAGACAGCTGCCCAAGAATGTCTCATGTATTTATTTGGGAGCAAAACTTCCTAGCTCTTCTTCCGCTTTCCTCTTCATGTGCTGACAGCTAAGCCAAAGGCAGGCCTTTGTTTCTGAAGTCATGTACAAATGAAGAATTTCTGGTCCCTTTCACAACTTTTACCTGCAAACCACAGTCAGCCTTCCAGAGTACTGTGAGGTTAAGTGTTCTGCTCAACAGACAGGGTACAGAGACATTGGGTGACTTGCCTTTGGTCCTACAACAGGCATGCAGGCACAAATCCCCTATCCATCCCCTACTCTAATCACCAATCTCCCTTGGATGCTGTCATTTAAATAAAAAGGCCTATTGGAAATGACAGGTGAAGAAAGCAGTCCAGGCATGAAATGCACTCTAAAGTATATTAATAGAAGGTTGCCAGACAAAACGGCACAAGGCATTTGATCGCATCATCTTAGGCTTGTTGTTCATGCTCCTTTGCATCTGGCTGCGTGATTTCTGCCAGATTCTCGGCTGGAGGAGCAGGCTAGGATTTGCCTGCTTTCCCTAACCCGTGCCGGGCTCAGCTGCAATCATGCAGAGCACTGAAAGAAATCCCTTTGAGTCGGGATTCATTCTGAACATGTAAAACCCAGACAAATGACTGCTTCTCCAAAGTGAATCCCATTTCACAGCAAGTAGGTTATTAGTGTGGAACTCCATACAAGTAGCCTGCATTCAAAAGCCCTCTGCATTATTAATAGAAGATGAGCTTTTGACATCAAAGGAGAACCATTATGTATGCTAAACGGTGGCAAAAATTGTACCCGCACTTCAAACCTTTTCAGTTCTTTGTCCCTTGTAAATCAATCAAGGTTGACAGATGCTTTAAGGAGAGTAATCTTTTCAATGATACTGTCAATGGATAACATAATGGAACATTGTCTCTGTGCTGTGTGAAGACATGGAGCTAGTCAATTATGGACAACACTTCATGCAGCCGCCAGTTTTCACTTGAAGTGCTGCTGTTGAAGTATTATAATCCCAACAAATGGCCGCAGCAGCATACAATGTAAATGAGACCTCCTGAAGCTTTGGAAAATTAATTAGTAACAACAGTGGTCCATTCCCACACTTTCAAACACCAGCCTGGTAATGTTAACGATGTACTTCCCCCCTTCCCTTTGAGCAGTCAATAGGGCATATTTACATACACTATTTTTAATCTTCAACACTTTTTTTCCCCTTTTTAAATGCAGGAAGCTCTGGATTCCTTTCCTCCCTTTCGAGCAGCAAACTTCACCCCTGTATTTCCAACCAGTCACCCACATGGCTGGAGCTGAAAACAAGAGAACAGAGACTTTCCTACTTGGAGACAGCAGTAATATTCACTCCTCTTGCTTCACACACGTCGGACACTTTGTGGCTGTCTCCTTTTCCAACACTTCTATCCCCTCAGCTGCCCTGAGAAGAATGGCTTGGTGGATGGCAGGGGAAAAGCTTCCGGTCTCAAGACACCAGTAGGATGGTAGTTGAAAGCCCAATGTACTGAGTGCCAGCAGCACCTAGGTCAAACTGTGGTGCTCTGGATGCCAACATATAGATCCAATTGCCCGCTTCTACAGAAAGGAGATTGAGAGTCAAGGGGGAGAGATTGCGCTGTTTATTTAGCTATAGACTTCTATTTCCTACATCATTTTCTCAAAGATTTTCCCTTTGTCAGCTGAGGCTTGCGCTAAGGGGAACACTTAATCTCCCACAGTAACAGAGAGAAATCCCACACTTGAGCACAAAATTTCTAAACTCCGATCAATTGCAAATTTTCATTGCTATGATCTGTGAATGCCCCCTTATCTATAATGTGGTTTTGAAACAACCAGGTGCAGATAAGAAACTCAGTCACTGAGGTCTTCTCAGACAAGAACAGGCTGTTCCTTGAACCCAACTCCCTCTTCCCCAGGCCCCGAACAGCTGGGAACAGATGCAGCTGCTGTCCCTCCTCATTTAGTATGGATTCGGTCTTCTGCACTCTGGACAGTTTTCTGAGAAGCCCTTGCAGTGGTTGACAGCAGAAAGCTTCACACTGCAGCAGTCCCCCGAACCCCCAAAACATATAGACAATGGTTAAACAATACTGACAATGGTTAAACAATACTATGAGGCAACAGAGGAAGCAATAGCAGCCACACACCCTCCGAGGCATTACCCACCCAGCTGCCACTGCTGATCCCAAGAAGAAAAGGGCCCCCTCCTGGGAATAGAAAAAACAGAGGAAAGGATATCTTCTGCCTAGCCTTAGAAAAGTCAGAGACTGATCCAAACTTTTTCCCACTCTTGCATAGAACAAACTACCATAGGATAGAGAAATGGACAGGAATCAGGAGGTTTCAATTCCTCCTTCCTTTTGCTGGAACAGATGTGTCAAGAAAAGAGTGGCACAACTCCATTTCTAGACTGACTTCGCACTCAAATTCCACAGTTCAATATGCACAAACACAAGGCAAAAAATTTTCTGCTGCATCTTGATGAGAAAGCTTTAGGCTAGCATTCTTGCCATGATGAAAATGGCCTTTTTTCCAGTTAGAGTTTCTGTTGCTGTGCAGACTTGTCTGCTTTTGTATCTGTTTGTAGATGTTGTTTCTCTAGAGCTAAACACATGGAATGCCGCAGGGTCCCTACCCTCCTCCACCCACCACCTCTGCCACAAGCTGGTTGGGCCGGCACTGCAGAGGAGGCAGGCACCATGCCCCAGCTGTCCCCATCTTTGAGAGGAGACCCAGGTTTATCTCTCAGTACCAGGAGGATGAAGTATAAGTAAAAAGGGGACAGCAGAGACTGGTGGGTAACAAAGAGGGTTAAGAACATAACAGGCATAAAATCAGGGCCCAAACAGTAGGTTCTTCTGTTCTTCTCTGCTTGGTGCAGGATTCCAAAGTCATTTTTAATCAAGCCTGTTCCCATTATATAGCTGCCAAATGTCATCCACTGCCTTCCCTCCACACAGCTCATGGCTGGAAGTTCCCACTGCCTTGGCTGAGATGTGTTTCTGAATATTCCTTTTCTTAGTCAAAGCAAAATGGGACACCAAACACCTCTTACTTGAAATTTTGATTGTTCACTTAAGCAAACCTGGAGTTCATAGATTCAAACAGAGCAAGGGATAGCTGTATAGAAGTAGCTTAGGTGACAGCTCTACAGGTGCGTAAGGTGGGCCAGGAGAAGCAAACAAGCAGTTGCAGGCAGGCTTGGGTGTTGTGTGTTCTGCTTGCATAGCTTTCAAGGAAAACTGATGCATAGAAGAGGCTATGGAAAAGGCCAGGATGTCATACTTGGACACAAAGTTGCAATACACTGGACCAGAGTCTTAAATCTACTGACTTCTGCAGAGCTACTGCAACCAATGTGTGCTAAGGATCTGTTCTACTTTATCTGAAACCTGCTCTAAAAACATATGCCCCTTTCCAAGTAATTTATAGGAGTTTACCATTTATTTCCAATATCCAGAGATACCTACACACATACTTTCTTCCAAGTTACAACACATGTATTGAGCAATTGCAAATTTTCTTGCAGAACAGTTTTCCATAGTAATATCAAAGAATTTCAAAAGCATACATTGCCCTTGTCACAACTTTCAACAGAAAATCATCTAACCTTTTATTTCAAGTTTATAATTTTTACTTCTATTTGCTATTATATTATTATTTAAAGTGTACAAGTAAAAATATTTGCCAATATAATACAATATAAACAATGAAACAATAAAGCTGATCCAGTTGATCAAAAGACAAAAGATCTGAGAAAAACTAAGTGTTCCAATAATTCAGAACCAAAGGTTATAATATGGAAGATGAACAACCTGCTTCTGTTCATGTGTCTAATGACAATACATAAAATCACCACTTATCAATTTTGGATAAGATAAGAGGGAAGATGGTAGCTAATAATGACAAAAATTTTAGGTAGCCTTCTATTCATGTTAAAATAAAATTCACACCATCCAATTAAGCTAGAGATTTATCATTAAAAAATAAATTAGGAAAAAATTAATAGAGAAACATTGCTTACATAAGAGAAGTCTTCGGCATTCTGACAGAGTAGTTTGGGAAAAACAGCCTGTCGCTGAAATCTTTCCTCGTCTTCAAAGATGTTCCCATACATGAAGCCATTCATCATGGTGGAGTGGGCATGGATGTCAATATAGAACTCCAGGTTAATCTTCTGTTGAGGGAAAATAACAACAACAAAAAAACATTCAGTGTGAGATAAATCATAACTGTCTTATGTAGGTGAAGCCTCCCATAAATCCAATACTGCCATCCTTGAATCTAACCATGGTGCCAGCGTCAGAGCGCCATGCTAAAGACAATTGCTTTGATGCATCCAACCATTCACGCCTCTTTGCGGGTTCATGTGAGATGCAGCACAGGACCATGATAGACATTTCTTTACCTGTTCTGAGAAGGCTGGAACATTTATGCAGCACAGGACACTGTGCAAAATAGAGCCAAAGCATTATCCTTCGCATTGATACAGGGCTTAGTGCCACTGATAAAAATACGCACTTTCTAGTTCTAGAGCATGATTGTTCGGGCATAGCTTTGCCATCTCTGCACACTTCTGTATCGCAATATGCAGATGTACCCTTCTGCCAGGAAAGACAGGCTCAAAATTGTGTAAAAAAGACTTCAGTATTTCCTGTGCAGTTTATTTCGGTTTATAAGGAGAAATACCGCAAATGTTTTTGTTTTACTCTGCTTTGTAGTAGCAATTCAACAGAACAACTCCCAAAAGCAAGTGCCTTGAATGCTTCTCTGCTTGTAGCTTCCCATGTGATTCTGCATCAACTCTTGCTTCAAAAGAAAACACCCTAACACAGAAGTGCCTGCTCTCCCCATACCCTTCCTGGATTGACAATTCACTTTTAGAAGGCTCTGTAAGAGAACACTGCTCAAGTCTCCAGTCCAGGGACACCTCTTTTTCCCCACATCATATATACTACTTCCCCTGCCATCAGTGGCAAAGAGTGAATGTTCACCTTGATCACCATGTACAGTGCCATCGACAGCTGTGAGAAGGCAACATGCCGGTACTAAAAAGTGCTACCAGAGCAGATGCCACTGGATTACCCAGAGTTTCCCCAAACTTTTGCAACTTCTGGTCCTTAACAAATGATGCTCTGGGACTAGACAGTGACAAGCCCACCCCGTCATCTGGCCACCATGGGGCCAGTAAGAACCTTCCTGGTGACCAGAGGGTTACAGTTCAGATCTCCCCAGCCCAACAGGGGGATCGAGAAGACCTCTGTTAGCAAAACAGGGATTACGATGCTTAGCCCTGTACCCCTCGGTGGCAAATAGGGACCCTGGCCAGTAAAGTACAACAGGTAGCTCTCCAGCCACATGTCTCATCTGCACACAAAGCTTGCTCAGGCTGCTGGAGAATACTGAGCTACAAGACAGTCCAATGTAATACAAACGCAGTTTGTATTACGCAGTTCATGTGACAGCAGTGTCAGCTCTTCTAGAGAGTCTCTGATGGGGGGAGAACATCATTTGGTATGTGAAACTAATATGATACAGATTTACTTTCCCTTGGCAGAAAACCAATGTACAATACACAGTGACTGTTTAGTTTAATTAAACAGCCTAGAGAGAGTAATACTGTATCTTATTAAGCCTCTCCTATGTTAAAATGCTAGCTAATGCAATATCAATATCTGACCATGCTTCATAGGAAAAGGAACGTTTGATTGTACTTGACTGTAATACAATAAATTGTTTACTCCTGCCAAAACATTATGCTGTGCTGTAGAGGACCAACACTGCAATAAAGCACACATCTGCTATTTGGAGGTATAGCACTGAGGAGAAAGATTAGCATTGACAGGATGAAATACCACATAGGATTTTCTTTCTCTCCAAGCATACAGAAATTAAAACCAAGATTGAGTAATACTATTTTTCATAAGATAATTTCCCCATCAGAAACAGAATTTGATGAGATCAGATGCACACTGGCATATCACCATAAAACAGAACATGTTGTAGAATCTCAAAACAGTGATTTGATGATGAAATGAGGAGATAATCTAGTTAAACTGGGTATTTGTAAATCATGAATGTCCTTCACATAGAAGTCAGTGACCTAAGTCATACTTATTTTAGAACAAGTAGACAGAATTCTTTACAGGGACATATTTACTAATATAAAGTAATTGAGAAGCACAGTGAGATATCTAACAATAAACTAGTATCATTTGTGTCTTAACACAAATAAAGGTGCTGGCATAAGCTATGATTTGTGCTGTGTCATACTGTACTTATTCATCCATAGTTATCAAATTGTTTCCAAAAGAAGGTGTCTATAAACAGGGACCCAGAGGCACAAATTACTACAATAACTTTCCATAGCTATCCAGCAAGAAATTCACCTGCAGAACATGGGTGACCTGAGCCTCAGCTTAGTATTCAATTGATCAAGCCATCCAGTCTCATACAGTATCACTAGACAATATTTTCTAAACTCTCCTAGGATTCTCGCTAAAAAAATTGCTGATAAAAGTGTTCCAGAGAATTTTAGAGAATCTTTTGGGGTGCTGAAATTTCTTTGAAGATCTGTCTTGATCATCAAAACCATTTTCAAATAGTCTGGTTACAATGGTTATTTGTGAGGGAACAGTGTCCTTCACAGGTATCACCTAAAGATTCAGCTTCTAGATCACTTATTTGGAAACCATGACATTCAACAATAGCTCATCGCCCAGACAAGTATTTAAAAACATTTATCCAGTCATTCATTACAACTTATTTCAAAAGTTATTTCCTAAGTCAGCCCACAGTAACTATTCAACTGTTTTTTCTGGTCTTTGTTCCTTACCCTCCTACTGAACATACAGAGAACTCTATTTCACATATTCCTGCCCACTAAGTATAGTCCAAATTTGCAATTGCCCATCTTATTCAGTAAGTTGTTAAACATCGCTAGAGTAATTGCCAGTTAGATGTACTACTCCCAGACACTGCTCTATGTGAGCAGAACAGTATTTCAGTGTTTCACATTTCTTTTCTTCTCATCACATTCATTATTTTATCAAAGGGAAACATCTTGAGCATTCTCCATTACAGAACAAAATAATTCAGTGCACTGTTAATATAACACATGAGTTCCTAATGGAAAAATTCTCTTTATTCACAGACACAAAGATATTGTGGCCTTAAAATGGACAATAACAGCCCAGTCACAGGGACGTTAAATTCAAAGTTTGCCACCTGGTGCCCCAAGTAGTAAAGCAAGTAGTAGACAATTTGTCTGCAGACAAGTTTCTCAAAAGAATGAAGATATGTTCCTGAACGATAATGGTATTTTTTCTCTCTCTTTAGAGTCATACATATTCATAAGTACTTAAAGTGTAGGAACTGTTTCACCCACTGCCACCCTACAAATTTAAGCTAGGGAATAAAGTTTCATATTTCAGTTGAGGTTCTCTGGAAGATTTTGACATAATTACTGATTTCCTGCAATTTAGGCAGGATCACAGAATTAACATTTTATTAAATATATAATGTCACCTAGTGATGGGAATTTCAGAAAAATCAGCAGAGAGCTGACCTTCTGAAATTGTTTCTCTTTGAGATAGGGAGAATTTTAATGGGAGAATGAAGTTAATAAATGTACGTGTGCATTTACATAAGCACATACAAACACACTTTAAACATAAACCAATCCTATCTGCTGTTAAACAACAGGGGTATCTGTCAGTATCCACACAGCAGAACCAAGCTGGTTATGGCTTGTAATGCAGTAGCATCTACAAGTAAGAATGGGAATAAATTTACGGGTGGCTCAAAGTCTCATAGTCACGTTTGCTTCAGCCTTTAAGCAGAAAGAAATTAATAACCAGGCTCAAACATCTCTGGACGCCATAGCTGCCTTCTGAGAGACTTACAAGTTACATCCTACAATATGATATTAAACTCATCATTTTCTCCTTTAGAGGTGGAATGCAAAATGATTCAGATGCCTTATAAAAATCATCATGCAATTTAATTCCCTCAAGTGTCTTGTCTTTGTGCTTACAAGCATTTTTTTTTCTTAAGTAAAGCTGTAATTACCTGGATGACCCAGCTTACAGAGTTGGAGAAAACAAAGGCAGACTTGGTCTTTCTTTTCTCCGTGTGTCAAAACAGACTGACAGAGACACTGATTGAACCCACTTCCTAGAAAACAACAGTTAACATTCTCTCCCTTGAAAAGAATGGTCTTAGCCTCTTCTTGCCACTTACCACATAAAAACAGAATAAATAAATAAGCAAATAAATTTCCTCTCTAAGGTTCATTTGAATCCCTGCCTTTGTGACACACACTTTCCACTGTTCTCCTGAATCAGTCTAAAGTTTCTGGCAGCTTGAGAAATATACATATAAATTAGGGAGGGGGAAAAATGAAACAAATCATGGATAAAGAATAAGAGCTCACATACATCATCAAGATATGAAATAGTCAAAGTAGCACAGAAACTAGAAACTGGTTCATGATGCCATGTAAAGTTTTGAGAAAATATATTCTCACTTGTCTGCATTTTTATTCCATTAGCTGAATGCCTTTGGAAGGTCACTAATTAAAGAGCAAAAGGAAAGAATTATGTTAATAGCTAGTGCTCGTATGACCAAAGTTAGATTTTGAACAGTGCAATTATGATTCTTAGGGAAACAGAGATTTAATAAATAAATAAATAAAAATAAATCAACAAATGCCATAATAAAAGGATAAATGTGCATTGAGCCCAGAACATGAGACACGAGAGACAAGTGATGCAGGAAGAAGCCAGCTCTGTCCACCAGCTGTCACTTCAATATGGATTTTATTAATTCTTGGTCATAGCAATTGGTTTAGAGAGAGAGCGTCCAAAAGCCTTCTTCATTCCAATATTTCATACAGGGGATGGGATAAACTCCTTGAGATGTTTTATACAAGCTGCTAAAACCATGGCTTGCCATTAGTGGTAGAGAACATAACAGCCTCCAGGCAGACTTTGCACTCTTACTGCTAAGCCACTGTTTGAAGCAAATGGACTTACAACAGTTGGCACAGCATAAGGAGTTTGCCTTTTTTGGTTCAGAAAAGATTCAGAAATTCCCAGAAGACCGGCTCTTTGATGCTTCCTCAGGTCCAGAATCTCTCAAAAGGAAATTCTGCATAGGTCTCAAATATATTCATTT